CGTGAAGATGGGCATCGTTCCCCACGGACGTCTGTGGGCGGGAACCAAGTGCCACTCTGGGACCCAGACGGGCAGGAGACCCCTATAACAGCCCCGAGGGCGATGATCGAAGGGCGGAGCCTCTCCCGGGCAGATGCCACAGACTTGGTTTTGGGGGCAGCAACAGCAGTGACTCCCAGGGACACAATGCTCATGGCCCAGGTGGAGCAAAGCAGCGAGCTCTTGTCTCATCACCAGGGAAACCGGATCCCGAAATGCTCCTTCACGCCCCTTATTGGATCACGTGTCCACTTCTGAGCCAATCATAGGGAAGCGTGAGGCCGAGCCCATCCTTCAGGTCACGCGCCCATCCCTGAACCAATCACTGGAAAGTCGAGTAACCCTGGCTCCACGAGCAAACCACTCCTATGGGAGTGACTAAGCCCTGTCAGTGGTTCGCCCCTGCAGTTGTAACCCTGGAGAATCCTGAGAACACCTTCAAGTAGTCAGTGGGACCCTGAGGACAGCCCCCCCCCCCAGATCTGGGTGTAGTTTTCGAGGCTGGGCCTCGCTGGGCTCCCGGGGCCTTCTGGGAAGTTCGGGTAGTAGCTCCGCCGCACCTGAGAGTCAGCAGAAGGCCCGGAAGCTTCTGGAAATAGTGGATCAGGTGCAAAGGTAAAACCCAGACCAGAGAGGGCCGGAGGGAGGTAGCGGAGAGCAAAGCTCTCGGGATCCATCACTGCCACTGTCGCCTGCCTTGGAGACAGACGAACTCCGGAAAGGTGAGCCGTCGCCTGACACCCTCGCTGTTGGAGAGAGCGGGCGTGTCCAAGAAGCCTAGGGCAAGTTTCTACAAACTGCAGGCACTGACTTTACGCCTCACCCCCATCCTGGCCAGGGGATTGGAGGCGGGGTTGAATTAACCATCAGTGGCTAATGATTTAATCAGTCATGCTTAAGTGATGAAGCCCATAAAGCTCAAAAGGACAGGGTGTCCAGGGCTTCTTCATAACTGAACATAGGAGATTCCTGGGGAGGGCCCGTGTCTCTTCCTCCAGACTCTGCCCTCTGCATCCCTTCATCCATGTCCCTCCTAGTATCCCTTACGATCAACTGGTAAACCTAGGTGTTTCCCTGGGTTCAGTGCGATGCTGACGGCAATTTAGTGAAGCTGAGGAGGGGGCTGTGGGAATCCTGGTGTGTAGCTGGTTGGTCAAAGTGCAGGTGGAACAACTTGGGGTCTTCAGTGAGCACAACTTGGGGTGGGGCTGGCGGTCTTGGGGACTGAACCCTTCACCCGTGGGGTCTGACGTTATTTCTAACTGGAAGGTTACTGCTTTAACTGGATTAGATGACACCTTGCTGGTGTCCCCTGTAGAACAGATTTCTTGCTGCTGAGGAGAAATCCCCACACATCTGAAGTGATCTGTGTTTTGTGAGTACAGCAGGAGAAACTAAGTCTGAGTTTTATTTTTCCACTGTATCTTCATGATGTGTAAAGGGACTTAAGGGACATATTCAATATCCAAATGTAATATGTGGCCTTATTGGATTTTGATTCAAACTATCAACTATAAAAAAATGAAAGCAGAAATGTGTGTGACACTTGGGGAAATCTAAATAGTGGACATTGTCATAAGTTTTTTGTTTATTTGTTTACTTTTGTGGTACTGGGAATTGAACCCAGGGCCTCACACATGCTAGGCAAGACTGTCATAGTAAAGATTTTCTTTCTTTTTTTTGGTACCAGGGATCGAACTCAGGTCCTTGCGCTTGTGCAGCAGGCGGCGAAACCACTGAGCTAAATCCCCAGCCCTTAAAGATTTTCAGTTTAATTTTATAGGCTGTGATAATGGAATTGTGGTTCTGTTAAAAGAAGGAAAGCTTCCTTATCTTTCAGAAATATAATCTTGTGCTACATTCCTGCAGTAATGGCCTCTGTGGATTAATTACTCCCCATTTCTATGTTATTTGCATATCCCCTCCTACATTAATTCTGGGTTTGGGTGCGTGACTTATTTTGTCTAATGAGACATTAGCAAACATGCTGCAAGCAGAGGCTTGAAAAGCATTTGTACATTGGGGCTTGCCTTCTCTTGCCTCTGGGAACTCTTGGAATGCAGCCACCATGGGAACAAGCCTGAGCTAGCCTGTTGTAAGGCTGTGTGGAGAACTGAGGCACCTCTCCCAATTGCCAGACATGTGGGTGAGACCATCAAAGACAGCTCAACCTGGTCAAGTCACCAGCTAACTGCATCCTCCTGAGAGCCCAGACAAAATCAACAGAAGAGCCATCCAGCTGATCCCAGCCCAACTGCCAACCCACAGAATCATGACCTAATAATGATCACTATTTCAAGACACTTGCAATAGATAAATAATATAATTCTGAATGTGTACAAATAAAATTTCAGATGTCTGGGCATTTGCTTCTGCGGGGTAGGGTGAATGAAGGTATAGATGAAAAAAGATGTTGGATAAAAGCTGATAATTATTAGAGTTGGTGAGGGCTTCATTTCTCTATTCTCTTTACATTTGGTTATGTTTGACATGGAAATTTCCATAGTGAAAAAATAAAAGAAAGAAGGATGAAAAGAGGAGTAGAGGAGAAAGAAAAGAGAATAGCTCTTCTATTAGTAGATAAAGCAGTGGAGACACAAAGATGGAAAGTGAGTTCTGCTATGCAGCACAGCCAAATCTTAGCAGAGTTCATTGCTGAACACAGCTTCTCCAACTCCTGGGCCCAATGCTTTCCATTGTCTGACATGCTCAGAGCCTGGAAAGTTGGTAGGAGAAACAATACGGGGAAGAATCACCTCATCTCTTACTTGAGAAAAGCCCAGTGGCAAGTCTAAGATGTTAGAAGGTGGTGAGACCTTTGGTGACAGATGATTTTATTTGTGTGCTGTATTGTTTAGCAGTTGAGGAACAAATATCTGTTTTGCCAGGTACACGTACTATATCACATAAGAGAGAAGGAAGACCTCCTTTCTATACTCTGCCCCACGGCGTTGCCACCAAAAGCTTCCTCTGTTTTCAAAAGTGTGTAGTAACTGTGAAAGAAATAACAGGGGCTGTGTTACAGTGTGCCCGGACATCAACACTAAAAATTCATCTTCAAGTCCAAATATATTAAGGTTGTCTCTTTCCCACATGTATGAAATGAGCAAAGCTTTCATTATTCATCAAATGAGAAAATTAAGCACTGTAATTATCTGTCTCTTGCCCCAGGGTAGATTGGGCATCGTTTAATCAGACATTGCTACAGACTGCGCCTGACCATAAACAGACATTAAAGAGGTTACTTAATGAAAAAGAAAAGAGAAAAAATAACCCAAAACTTCGGCGTCTTCATAGCCAGTGTTGGTTTCCCTGAGAGCTTATGGACCTTAGAACTCAGCTGGAGTTTCAGGGGAGGAAGGAAGATTCTAGAAGATGATAACTGGGCCTGTGACCAAAAAGCCAAATACAACAAAGCCAAACTAAACTGCAATCTTTCATGTAACCCATTGGCAGGGCCCCTGCCTTGCATTTCTTGGGAGCAGGGCTCACTGAGAGGACGCACAGGGCTCTGTATTTATGTTTGATGGTTGGTCTGAAACCCTAGAGCCCCAGAGCCAGCTGGCCGAGTGCGGTGAGGCCGATGTATCGCCGAGGGCAGGCATCAGCAGCACTGGCTGCAGCGCACACACAGTCCTGCAGGTCACTGTTGTATGTGGAATCCTGGACAAGTGGGGAAGGGACTCCAGTTCTCCTTGAGTTTCTTCGAGTTACACTTAGCAGTCACATAGATGTTTCCTGTTTCACACCATTTATTGCATGAGTAGAAGTTCTCAAGTCAGGGGGTCCCTGCTTGGAGGTGGTGAGGAGGTTGCTGGCTCTTGGCCCAGTGAGGTTAAGGTCCCTGTCACCCCGGAGCCCTGGGCTTCTGGGCCTGAGGGCCACACACAGGCCGGCCTGGAGTGCCAGACACGGCGTCCTGTTCATCTGGAGCTGTGGTAACCTGCACCCTGGGCGCCCAGAAGAGCAGCTCCTCCGGAGGGACTTTGCCAGAGCCTTCCCTCCCCTGGGTGCTGGAAACCGCCATCCTCCACCAGTTTCCTCTCCCTTCCCCACATCGCTGTCCTGCCCCGCCCTCTGCGGTGCGCGCATGGAGGGCTATGAGCTAGTCAGCCTTCCACAAACCCGGGGAAACGAAACGTGACCTAGACAGTCACGCCCGCGGGCCACCGACCGGGATTCAGGCGGCGGCCAGGGACCCAAATGCCGCAGAGCTGACTGCGGCCTCTGCTATGTGGGCAGAGCTGTGGGATACACACCGGGGGGAAGGCTTCCAGGAGAATCTTCTAAGATCTGGAGTTGTTTCAGAGGGAAGCTGAGCTGTCTGCCCAGCGCTGACAGAGGCCGGTGCCAGGCATGGTCAGGGAAGGGTCCGGGCTGGGCCAGGGCAGGAGGGACAGGAAGCATTCCCAGGACCATTCACGGTGGGGGAAGGCTTTCCGCCAGGAGCCCCAAGTAGGGAGTTCAGAGACTCCGGACCTTGTGCACCGCAAGGAGCTAAGGACACGGCCCGGGCCCCCTTCGCGTCACTGCCCCTCTGCTGAGCGGGGCTCGGAGGCCCGACCTGGGGCCTCCTGTTCGACCCGGACCCCCGCAGCTCTCGCGGGCAGTCCTCGCTCCAAGACGGGACCCGTGTCTGCAGCCGGCCCGGACAGACGCCGGCCTCCCAGGACTGGCGGGGCACACGCTGGACACGGGCAGGTGGCTCGGCGGCGCCCCGGGCAGGGCCTGCGAGCAGCGAGGCGTCGGCCCTTCGGGCTTCCTTGGGCCGTGGGCCGGGTCTCAGGCGTCCGAGCCGCGTTCCCGGGGCGGACGCCAGGGGGCAGGGCGGCCGGGGCGCCCCGCAGAGGCTCGTCCACCCCGCCCCGGTACCGCCCCGCGCTGAGCCCTCTCCCCGCCTCCCGGCCACGCCGAGAATGAACGGCGCCCGCCGAGCAGGTGCGAGCCGAGGGCGGGGCGCCACCAGCCTCTCCCGCCGCTGGGGAGGAGGCAGGGCGGGAGAGAGGAAGGAAGAGGAAGCGGAGAAGGGAAGGGGCCCGCCCGTTATTTCTGGCCGGGCCGCTGCGCTACGGAGGAACTGTTGACGTGGATGAAGGGCGCTGGGCCCCGCTCCCTGCTCTCGGCCGCACCGGCCTCCTTCCGCGGCCCTCTGCGCGGGGATCGCTGTCCTCCCTCTGCCACCTCCGCGGCCTGGCAGGCCGTCGGCACCGCCTGAGTCGGGGCAGTCTGGGCCCCCTAGGCGTGGGCGCCCTCGGAGGGGACCCCTGATTCCGCGGCCTGGGGCCCCGCGGCGTTGTGGAGCAGTGTGGAGAGAAGGTGGCTGATACTGCTCCCTGGCCTGGCCCTGGGGACCTCGAGCCCTGTCCCTGGCCCTGCAGGGCCCTCACTGGCTGGTATGAGGGGCCCCTCGCCCCCATGCATACATACTTTCCACCGATGACTTACATGTATGTGTTAATGCTTATAAATAAATAGACCCAGCGCAAAAGAACATCCATGTAGACGACCCCCTTCCTCCTTCCCTGCAGGTAACAGCTTTCTTTATGTGTAAAGTTCGGGCTCATAGCAACATACACACATGTGCATTAACACACTTTATACAGAAATGGGATCAAGAGATGGAAGGAGCTGATGAGCAGTGAGTAGTCACCAAACACCAAACCCTTGGTCTGAGCCCTGGCCTTGTATTAACTCACTGACTCCTCACAAGCCTCTCTGAGGTTCGTCACTGTCATTCCTAGTTTCTAGCCAAGGACGTGGGCATTGGAAGGTTCAGTAGCCTGTTCAGGCCCACAGAGCTGCTAAGCAATGGTCAAGATTTGAGCCTGGCTCCAGAGCCACGAGTTAACAGGACTGCCTACTTTTCTATGCATGTTGCTCCATACAGTGTATGTTATTTTCTGCAACCACTGGAGATTCCAAAAGGAGTTGGTGGCTATGTGTACTTGAGATTTTTACAGGTATTAACAAAACAGTGGGACCCTGCACTCATTCTGGAAATCAAAGTCCCACATTTGACCTCCAGCAGTAAGTTCCCTCCATCTCCCTCAGGTCTGGGAGTGGGGAAGAGGGAAGCCCCCAGACCCGGGGCAGAGGCACATACAGGCCATAGAGATGAGCACTGTGACAGCTGGCCACATGGAATTAGAAGGTACCCAGACTGGTACTGGTGGCCTTGCCTGACTGTGGCCTTGTCCAACTGCGGCTGCATATCCCATGGGGGCCAAAGTGCCCACGCAAACCTGCTTCTACCTTTGACCCCTGAGGGCCTCTTGACTTCCACTCAGTTTTCTGGGACAGTGCCTTTAGAACCCTCAAAATCCTCTGAGTGCCTGTCAGTAAAATCCTTTTTTATTTTACAGTCTTTGCTGTAGGTTGTAAACCCTCCTATCTGTTACATAAAATCAGTTAGTCTGAAATCTTTTAATTTTGGCCAATCTGATAGGCCAAAGGAGAAAAAAAGAAAGGAAAAGTACTTCATGGATTTAATTTACATTTATTTGCTTTTCACTAGGGAGGTGGGGGTGGAGATCCGCTTACTTCAAATAAAATCCATTTTGCCCTTGCAGGATAACAGATCTGGAGCTAAGCAAAGGCTGCTGAGTGGACTGCAGTTTCCAGCCGGCCCTGTGGCCAAGTCCTCATCAAGAGTGTGAGGAGCCCTGCAGTAGGAACTGCTTCTGTGTTGGGTCCATGCAGAGTGGGGGCGTCTGCTCCAAGACCCCTAAGATCAGGCTGTGGCAGCACTCCAGCCATGCTGGATCAGCACCCTAAGGAAAAGCTCAAGGCTCAAGACTTAGAATTATTTTCACCATCCTCAAAGATCCTGTATCATTTTGTGGTTTTAATTAACCAAACATTTTGTACAATACTGCAAATAAGGAAGAGAACTCTTTATCTTTTGAAAACACATGTTCCTTGATTTACAGTGGGATTGTAAACCAATTCACCCATTGCAACTTGAAAATGTCTTAAGTTAAAAATGCACATGATTCACCTAGCTGGGTGAGCATCTCAGCAACACGACACACTGCAGTGCTGGTTGCCCCTTGTGATGGACAGCTGTGACTCACCATCACCACTCAGCACCACCAAAGGGTTGCACTGAAGATCGCCAGCCCTGGAGAGATCAAGATTCAAAGTTTGGTTTCTACTGAATGTAGAAATTTAGGGGCCAGGGCTGGGGATTTAGCTCAGTGGTTCCACCACCTGCCTCGCAAGCACAAGGTCCCAAGTTTGATCCCCGGTACTAAAAAAAAAAAAAATTCAGGGGCCAGGGATGCAGCTCAGCGGTGCAACATCTGCCAGGCAAGCGCGAGGCCCTGAGTTTGATTCCCAAAAGAGAAAAAGAAGAAGAAATTCAGGCACCGTCCTTCAGTTGGAAAATTGTAGGTACTACCACCATGAAGTTGGGACCACATCCACACCTGTACGTCTGTATCTCTATATCCATCTACCTGTCTGCCTGTCTTCTCATTGGCTCTGCGTCTCTGGGGAACCTGAGACAGACGAGAGACTTGCTGACTCCAGCCTCTGTGTTACTGGGTCTCTTCGTTACCGCAGCCCCCGACCCTTACTAATTTGGATGTTGATTGGTTTCCATGAGTGTGTCCACTGCTGGCTTGGCTTCTGTGACCTTCTTATCCTTTAAGGTCCTTTGCTGGCTTCATGTCACTCTCCAGGAATTGTACATATTGAGTGTATGCACCTGTTGATTGTAATATTTACTGCAAATTTGTTGAGGTTGGTCCCTAGTCTCTTTGCTTCATTTTGGGCAGCTTTCATCCTGGAGAATACATTGCAGCTCGCGATGCTGGTGACAGAAATCCCGCTGGCTCCACTGTGCTGCAGAGGCTACTTACTGAGCCATCCGTCTGCCTGCTCTCTTCATGGCGCTAGAGATTCCTGCAGGAAACATAAGACATCTCTCAATTTTCATCCTTTAGTACAATTTTTAAATGTTTTTGTAAGTCCTCCAGAATTTTGGTTAGGTTTATTCCTGCATTATATTTTTTGTTGCCATTGCAAATGCTCTTTTCTACTTGGTGTAAGGAAAAGGTGTTGCTTTCTATGTCTGGTCTGTGGCCTCTTGCCATCTGACTGATTTCTGTACCCTATCAAACCTGTCCCAGGATGGTACTTCTATGAAGTACCTGAATTATCCTAGTTTACGCGGGGTTCTCTCTGAGTCTTCTGCACACTCTTGGTTTCCTTCAGATGTGTAGAGATTCTTGGTCATCCGATCCCACTTCTCAACGAGAGCCAGGACGGTGGCTGTCAAAGTACGAACCATAGATTCCTGGAGGAGAGGAGTCAGGTCCTGAGACTTTATCAAGATTGCCTACAAGGTCAGAGCTATTGAGTAGGAATACAAAGATGTTTTCTTCCCTCATGGATGTTCAGCGAGTCTACAGCATGTGTAATATCACAAGAGGTCGAGAGCAGAGCAGATAGAAAAATCCAACTGGCCATAAGCCAGACTTTGAAAAGACTTTTTAAAATTCAAAGGAATATTACTTTTCTTACTAAATAGTTTTTAGAAAAGTATAGCTATTTTCATAAATGTTATTTGAAGTAACATGCCATTGTTATTATTAAATAAAGAAATACTTAAACATTTTCTCCAGGCAAACTTCTACTACATTATATATTGAAAGGTTTAACCCATAGCAATGAAAGGACTCTTCAACAGAGTCAGCTTTCTGTCGCTGTAAAAAATACTGAGGCAATTTAACGAAGGGTCTGTTTTGGCTCACAGTGCTGCAGGGTTCAGTCCATGGTTGGTTGGCTTCCTTTGGGCTGGGACAATGCCATTCATCTTGGTAGGGAGCACATGGCAGAGCAGTCACTCACTCTGACCAGGATGCAAAGAGGAAGAGGAAGAGGAAGGGGCAAGGGTCTCCCCATTTTCTGCCAGGGCACACACCCAGTGACCTGAAGACATCTCCCTCTAGACCCTACCTGCCAAAGGTCCTATCGACTCCCAGTCGTGCAATAGCACCACCCTGGGAACCAAACATTTTTTGTTTTTCAATTCCGGAGACTGAACCAAGGGCCTTTGCGCTGAGCTTCATCCCCGGACCTTTTTCACATTTTGAGACAGGGTCTCTCTAAGTCGCCAAGTTGCCCAGGCTGAGCTTGAATTTGTGAACCTCCTGCCTAAGCCTCCCAGAGTGCTAGGGTTATAAGCATCTGCCATCACAGCCAGCTGGGAATAAACCTTGACCGTTGGAGGACATTTTAAGACCCAAGTTGTGGTAGAGAGTAGGAGTTTCTGAGCTAGCATGTCTGGGAATTCTGGTCTTGGCTACTCACTCTTGCTGTGTGAAACAGTTCTTGAACAAACTAAGCCCTCTTTCTGGCAGGGACCATCCAGCAGCTCTGGCACCACCAAGTGCTTAGGACCATGGAGCTGGGGCTTCTGGTCTGGGACTTGGGCAAGCCCTGTGTTTGCTCTGGATGCTCCTGGCAGCTCTGTCCTCAGCGCTCACACTGCACTCGGACTTCATCCAGATCCCATCTCAGCCCGGGGAGGAGCCCTTTAAGTAGTCACCCCCATTCATGTCCCATGACCTAATTCCTTCTCCTCTGCCTGCCCCCAGACTTACTTTGAAGATGGCTTCCCACCTGCGCCATTTGCAGGCACCTTGGCTATATTGGGTTTCACCATGAATCTGATCTCATCTGCTTTATATCTTCTAGAAATTCCCCTCAATGTGCTGGTGGTACTTTTCTTAGTTTTTCCAGATTTCTATTAGTTTTTGCACTTGTTCTTGTATTTCAGAGGAAGAGGCAGGTGGGTAGAAGTTCTTGGATGTGTTTAATCAGCCCATCTTGACCCCAATAGAAAAAAAATGGTCCAATGAATGAATGGATGGATGGATGGACAAGGGCTCTAGTTGTGGATCCTCAGGATAGGGAGGCAGCAGAGTCAGTACAGATCTTCCTTTAAGACAGTGCTCCTGGGCAACAGGGATTTAGCTCAGTGGTTCCGCAGCCTGCACAAGGTCCTTAGTTTGATCCCCAGTACCAAAAAAAAAAGACAGGGCTGCTGGGAGGAGCACATGGTAGACTGACAGTAGACACAATGCTGACATCTGCCTGTGTCAGGTGAGCACCTGTAGTCAGGTGAGGTCAGGTGTCTTTGAGTGGCAGTGCAGGAGCTCAGCACTGCTGCAGAACACACTGAAGGTCATAGCTAGCAGATGTTCCCTCTCTTCAGGCTATGTTAAATTGCTGGGAGGTAGGTAAGCCGTGGCAGCATAATTGTTAGAAAAGAACATGATGTCTCCCCTGTGTTCTAGTCCTGACTCTCAGGGAAAGCCTGGCTCACCTCTCCTGAACACTGGGCCCAACATAAAGAAGGAGGATGCTAGGAAGTGTCCCCAGAGAGAGGGAGCCTCTGGGATGTGAGCAGAGGATGCCGTGGGCTGCTTTGAGCTGGGAGCACCGCCCTTCCTCCTGCCCTGGGCCTGACCAGTTGGTAACATCAAGTTGGTCACGGCCGGCTTCTCCTAAAAGCAGACAGACCCTTTAAAGATGCGGTCCAGACAGCAGCAGGGAGCCTAGGGTGACCACAGAGCAAACGAGGGAAAGGAAAGTTAGGCCGCCTCACAGTTAATGTAAAAGAAAACACTTCCCTCCTGAAGCAGGGGCTGAACTGTGCAGCTTGGCAAAGGCACAAACCAAAGCAAAGCCTTCCTGCTTCTCTGGAAAATCAGGCCACACCCTCCGGACATGGGAAAGGCTTTCTTCTCTATTTCAAATGACCCCGGTTCGCCTTTTTTAGATGCAAATGTTTGTTTGGTCTGCTTTGAAAGACCTTGGTGCAGCTGAAATAATTTAAGACAGCCTTACAAAAAGCGACCACTTCTTGATCTTCTACTGTGTGAACCTTCCCTGGGGCCACAGCGGGAATCACTGCACACCTGGGGAGCGGGGCTGCCCTCCCTCCCGGGCTCTTGGGACAGGCTGGGCACTGTGCAAAGGGATTCAGAGTGGCCTACGGGCAGCACCGCCGTGGGCTGTGATGACCACTGAGGGGCAGCCAGCATTTGTCATGCCAGTCACCTGTGGAAGAGGGTAAGAGGCCATGGGGTGCTCCTTTCAGCAGTTAGCTTGTGCAATTTGACTTTTTACCCCACATCCTAGAGGTACAGGATGTACGGGAACCTGTGATGGAGAAAGAACCTTCTGCAAAACATTGCGAGGACTGAATTAGTAAAATACAACGTCTCTGCGTGTCTGCAGGGGGCTGGTTAGCATAGTAATCAGTAGCGAGCATACTCTGGTCTTTGAGTCCCTTGTGTAAAATGGGCCCACATTTGCACAGAACCTGGGCGTGTCCTCCTTCTGTAGACCATTAATAATCCTTAGATGACTCACAATGCCTGATACAATGTGAATGCCACATAATGGTGCTTATTCTGTATTGTTTAGGGAGCAGTGACCAGAGAAAGGCCCGTACATGTTCAGTACAGACACAGGCTGTTTCCCTGAATAGTTTCCATTTGTGGCTGGTTAAATCCATGGGTGCAGAACTCGAGGACTGAGGTCCCGCCGTACCTAGGAAATGCCATGTGCGATGCACGCAGGTGTGAGTGGCCTGACGGCGTGTGGCCTGGCCCCTCACTACTGAAGAGTGCTAGTTACTGATCTGAGGATTCGGTGAGTCCAGGCGCCACTCTTTGTCAATGCGAGGGGATGCCTTGGTGAGAAAGCTAAGCATCAGCCCAGGGAGTTGGAACCGTAGCCTGTGCCTGGCAGGGGGCAGGAGCTGTCTACTTGCTGGTGGTTGGGTGGCTGGCCCCTCCTCTCTGCTTGGTGCCCCTGCTGGTGGCCACATGGCTGTGCCCCATGCCTCTCCTCCACTTGGCTTTACAGATGGAGACGGCCTGCCCTGTCTGCCCACCGAGCTTCTACCTCGTGTGCTGTACCCTGTTCTCAGCAGAGGATCTGCAGTTGGCTTTTACCAGACTGAAATCCTCCTCCCGAGCGGGTTGGTCCAGTGGCAGATCCTGGCATTAAATGGCCCCTGTGTGAACGGTGGTGTCTTATGTGGAAGGATGGGTGAAGCTGGACCGGCAAGGCCAGAAGGCAGGAGGGTGGAGCTGCCTCCTTTCCTACCTCACACTGTGCTGTGGCTTTTCCTCCAGCTGCAAGGGCAGCAAAAAACTGGAGCAGTCCCGCTTGTGAGCTTGTGATGGGAGAATGTGGGGCTGAGTTTAGGGCAGAGTGCTGCAGCTGGCTGGCCATGGTGTGCGAAGCTGGGAGCCAGGCAGCCTTGCACATGGAGCCTTTACTGTCTTGGGGACACCACTTAATGGAGACACGTTGGCTCACTGTGGTGTCTGAAAACAGCTCTCCAGGCTGGAGCCTGTCTTAGTCATTTTCTCATCACTAGGACAGAATACTCGACACCCACAACTTAGAAGAGGCTCATTTTGGCCCACATTTTCAGTCCATGGTCAGCTGGCTTCAAGCAGGAAGGGCGTGGTAGAGGGATCTGGAGGAGGAGAGCTGCTCGGATCATGGAGAGCAAGAAGCAGAGAGAGAAGGGAGGCGCAGGGAGGGAGATATGCCCTTCTAGGTCACACACCCAGTGAGCCAGCTCTTCCGACAAGGCCCCACCTCCCAGCAGCACTCAGCCACTGAACTCATCAGAGTTGAATCCATCAGTGAGTACAGTGTCCCCAGGACCCAACCACTTCTGAACCCCACCTCTGAGCGGGGACATTCTTGGTCTAAACTGTATCATCAACCCTTCAGCCGGGAGAGGGACAGCTTCTCCCACTTCTGCCTGGCTTGTCCTGGGTTATCAGGCAGACATTCACAGCAGACTCCCGGGAATTTAGGAGAAGATGAAAGTCACAGCTCAGCCTGTAGGGAAAGGTGGGTTATTCCCTCACAGCACCCTGGGCAGCTGGCTAGCCAGCAAGAAAAAGATAAAAGTGAATGTTCACCTTTTATCATGACCACACTAAATTCCAAAGGGATCCAGATGGGCCAAAGATCGAAATGGGAAAAGGTGGAAAACAAATATACTGGAAGAAAATGGTTATAAAAATTTATAATCTTGGAGGAGGAGTGAACTTTTTGATTATGTTACAAAATCCTGAGGCCATAAATAGCATAATTGATTTATTCTACCACATAAGAGCCAGGTATTTCTGCATGGCAGAAGACACCCTGATTAAAATTTAGATAACAGATGATAAGAGGAAAAAAATTATACTATACCCCTAAGGTGGAATTGCCATGCAATCATTAAAAAGAATAAGTTATATTTATGTCTATGCTATGGAGAAGAGTATCACGTGGATAACAATACATGCAACTTATGCACAGGCAAAAGGTATCTGTAAATCAATAAGAAAGACATCCAACAACTGATTGGAAAATGGGCAACCGACAGAAATCCTTTCCAGGAAAGGAAAATGCTTCTAAACCTTCAAAAATATGCTTATTCCATTACACCAGGAGAACTGCAAACTAAACATTAGTGAGATCCTCTTTTCCACCTAACAGGTTGGCAGAGTCCCAGGCTTTGATGACTTGTGTGCAAATGTTGTTTTTTGGATCCAGAATGTCCCCCAAAGGCCCTTGTGTTGGAGGCTTGGTCCCCAGACTGGCAATATCAGGAGGTGCTGGCACCTCTAAGAGGCAGGGCCTAGTAAGAGGAGTTTAGGCTCTTGGGGGCATGGCCTGAAGGGGACACCCAGCCCTACCTCTTCGTTTTTCCTTTGCTTCCCAGCTGCCCTGAAGGGGGTGCCTTTCTCTGCCATGTGTCCCAGCCATACTATGCTGCCTCACCACCAGCCCTAAAGTAACAAGGCCAACCAGTCAAGGTGGAACCTCTCAAACTGTGAGCCAAAATAGCCTTTCCCTCTTCTTACACTGATCCTCTCAGGTATTTCGTCATGATATCAGAAGGCTGAGTGTCATAACGAGTGAGCTGTTGGGACATCCACCAGCATTGCAACCCTACGTGTTCTGGCCCAGCAGGCCCACTTTAGGGCTTTGTCCCTTGGGTGTACACACACATCTGCATGAGAGCACTCATCACAGACTCACTGAAGCATTGGTTGTGGTCATAAAAGGATGGAAACAGATACAGTCAACAATAACATTCATTGAACCACGTTGCATCTTAGTATGGAATTACCGTGCAATCACTAAAAAGAAAAAGATGTGTTTAGAGGTCTATGACATGGAGCAATCTTTGAAATATTTTGTTTCATGACAAAGAAGAAGCTGGGGAATGTATATGTAGAGTCTGTCGTGTGTGTGTGTGTGTGTGTGTGTGTGTGTGTGTGCGCGCACACACACACAGAAGCATAGAAACTCCTGGAAGGGTACATAAAACATGGAAATTGGCACCACAAGTTCCCTCTGGTGGTACAGACTGAATGTTTGTGTGCCCCCAGAATTCCTATGTCGTAATCTTAACCCCCGTGTGATGAGCCTTGGGGAGGTGACTGGATCACCAGGGTGGAGACCCCATGAGGAGATTATGGAAAGGACACCAGAGGGCCTTCTGTTTCCTCTCCACCTGCAACCTGGATGAGGGTCCCAGCCAGACCCTGACCCAGGAGTTCCATCTCTGGAACTGTGAAAAATAAATGTCCATTGTTCCTAAGCCACCCTGTCTATAGTGCTGGGAATCCACCTGGTTACAGCAGCCCAAGGAGACTACGACATCCGGGGAAGGCTGGAGGGGGAGATGGATGGTAGGAAACTTATGTCTATTGTCTCTCTGTTTGAGTGTTGCCACCCAAGCATTTTCCGTCAGAGCCATACCTTTGGGAGCTGCAGCTGCCTACTGTTGCATCTTTCTCTGCTCCTGGATGGAAGTAGCACCAGCCCTGTCCCCCTTTGTCTCAGGTCTGTGCCCCCAACCCAGGAAAGGCAGACCTGAAATCTGCCCAGTGCCCTACCAGGAGGGGCCACCCTGGCCTGAGGTCTGCCTCTGCTGCTGAGAATCGGGTCCATTTGTCCAGCTGAACCCGAAAGCCTGGGCAGCTGGAGGCAGCTGGCCCTGTAAGAGGCAGTCACTGGGAGGGGAGGTGGGCCTGCCAGCTGTTACCCCTAGCAATGAGCATTACCTGGCATTGCTGGTGCCCCCAGGGGATCCCCTCTGTGCCTGTCCTAGGAGATGCACCCAGGAGACATCAGTCCAGTCCACACTGTCCTGGGAACCACTGCTGTCCAGGCCACAGCCACTGAGCAACTGTGCTCCCCTCCCCCATCTGCTCCCGACCGGGAAACAAAGGGCCCTGAGGTCCAGGCCACTCCCCATAGGAGAAGGAGGGGATTGTAACTAACAGACGCTTTTCTTCTACTAGGCGAGGTACAGTGAAATGCATACTTTTCTAAATGTCTAACAATGCCGTGGTTATTAAACATAATACCCCAAGCTTACCGGCTTCACTGAAATACAGCTGAGTTATGCACCCCTGCTACATAGTGTAGACATTTTCCAAGAATCTGAAGGCCACAGTGGTGGGAAGAAGGCCACGTCCTTGCGTCTGATTTGGCAGTGTGCTCCAGCAGGGCCTTGGGTGTTTGGGGCACCAGGCAAAGCTTCATGCTCAGATGGCCCAGACAGCTGCAGGAGGTGAGCAGATGCAGACACAGCAGCAGGCCTGGTCCCCTCGGCCATTCAGACATGGTCACCTTCACCAGCCCGTGCTGAAGCCTGCAGCTGAGGAGAGAGCCTCGTTCTCTCAAGGGTTAAACCTGTGGCTACACAGAGCAACTCACCTGCCCTTGCACAATGAACACCCCCAGCTACCCAGCTTTATCACGCCAGTCATTATTGCTACTGAAGCCAGATGTAACTTTGAGGGTGGGGAAAAGAAACTTGAAAAGTCGGTAGGCAGATGAGGAGCCTACTCCTCTTCCTTTCAAACTGTCATCAGCCAGACGCTTCTCAGCTGCCATCTTGTACTATTATTATTGCTGTTTTGCACTGAGGCTCTCTTCTGTGGGTGAGGGGAGGGGGTGAGCAGAACCTCAGAGGCGGCATACATCCCCTGGGTGCCACACTTGGTTGGTGTCTGAGTCATGAACCCATAAGCAAGGGCTCAGAGCTGCAGAGGACACTGGCTTCCCTGGCTGTGCACACCAGCACGAGTGTGCAGTGTTATCATGGGGCTTAGCTCCTCTTCCTGGGCCAATGGGGCAAAACAGAACCCAAACGGGAGACACAGCTTGCCCAAGGGGCTGCTCTGATGGTCGCCATCTTGGAAATGCTGGACCACCGTGAGGTGAGTGCTTCCTCACAGTATCTCTGGAAGTGGGCACCTCTGTTATTCCCATTTTCCTGATAGATAGACTGAGATGTGAGAGTGATGAGGCAGGGAGCAAGAAGCCAGGACTTGAGGGGCAGAGAGGGACGATGCCAAGGACAGGTCCAAGAGGAAGCACGGGAGCCACAGGGTCAGTCCACACTGTCTAGGAAGCCAGCAGGACCCCAGGTCTCCACGGGGCTCACAGGCATTCATGGAGGTTGTTCAGAAACACTGAGGAGGGATGGTGCTGGGCTCAGGCACCCTAGAGAGCCAGGAGTGAGATTCTGGACTGAAAAGTGGATTGAGGCATAAAAAGAAAGACTTTACACACACCATGTTGACCCCAAATCCCCTTCCTCACTCAGCTCCCAGAAAGCCGGCAGCCTCAGGCAGTGCATGCATATGTCCCTAGATGAGAGACTTAAAAATGCTTATGTAGGAAAGACGACTTCACCCACCAGTCTAAAACCACCCCCTGCCATCAAGAAGTCTCCAGGAGCTCTGGAGCACCACACTCTCAGTTGTGCATGGATTGTCCAGGAGCATTGAACATTTGGGAGAAGCCACCAGCATGGAGTAAAACAAACAAACAAACAAACAAACAAACAAACAACAGGAAAAAGGCAATCAGAGCAATGAGAGAGAAGGAAACCAAAGACAAGCTCAAATGATGCTCCAAGACTCATATTCTCAGGGAGAGGAGAGAGGGTATTGCATCCAAGAAAGGGTGAAGAAGTGGCAATCTAAGCAC